ATACTTCTACATAAGTAATGAATGTGAATACTTTTGACACTTCTGGTTATTAGCTGGCAAAGCATCACAACAGGAAGTACCTCTCACTCATTGTGTCAATTTATGGCCAATAACACAAAACTTAAACTTGAACAACTAACCAACATGAACAAGAAAACTAACTCGAAAAACTAATTTTTACACTTCTGAACCTTTTTAACAGTTTTAGACATGCAAACACATAATTTCTACAAGATTACACAGCATTCCTTGCTGAGAAAAGTTTGGTTCCTGAGGAAGAGGGCAGGGCTTTTCAGAATACTTGTTTTAACACTGCATTGCGTTATATAACAACACTGTTAAGTGTTATTCAATGCATAACAGTGGGCAGAGCTTATTTAAYACTGTCCAGAGTTGAGACAACACTGATGAAATCAACTCTGTGAATTACCATCAACACTGGATGTCAATTTACACAGAAGTGTTAAAATAACACTTGGGGAGTTGAAATTTACCATGAAAAGTACTGAAAGTTTAACACTCCAGTTTTTACTGTGTACACAGCAAAAGAGTTATTAATCAACGRACCTCCAGTGTTAACCATCAATAACCCAATGCAGTGTTGAAAAGCATGAGAATCAGAGTTTATTTGTCACCACAGTGGTGTTAGTCAGTGTTAATTTTTAACTCTGTTTAGAGTTAAATTGTACTCTGAAAAATTAACACTGTGGAAAGAGTTAAATTGACACTTATTCAGATAAGGACCAAATAGACTAGGACACAGTGTTAAATTTATCTCTTAGTGTTGATTCAACACTGCAAAATTTACTGTGTGTGGGACACAGTCTGCTAAAATATTGCTCAATGGTCTGTGTCTCTTTGAACAAGAAATGCACATTAGCATTGTTGCTACAATAAATACCTGCCATGAGTAGCTGTTATGCATTTCTGTTGATAAAGTTAAATCAAATTTCCTTTTATAGACAACATGTAAATCACTGAACAATCTGTTGATATACTGTACACTGTGTTGGAATCCTTAATTAACAACAACACTGCCTTAGTTCTCCAAGAATGATTCTGCAGGCCATCCACAGCTACATAACTGCACCTCTTCTGTCTTCTACCAGGTATAAGGTTGCCATCACAAAGCACAAGGACTTGGAGCAAACCAGCAGTAGTCTTTACAGTCAAAATGATGTTTGGAGTCCAGCAGTTGACTTCAGCAAGTTTATTGAAGATGATGAAAGCATTGAAGATGAAGTATGTTCTGATATGATTTGAAATATTGAAGCAAACTTCTAATTTTATGACTTGACCTAAAGTAATTGCATTATGTGCCTGCAGGACCTTGTTGCATGGGTGACAGCTGGTTTCCTTCATATCCCTCACGCTGAAGACATCCCTAACACTGTAACAGTCGGCAATGGAGGTGGGGTCCTGCTGCGACCACATAACTACTTCGATGAAGACCCATCCATTAACTCTGCAGATGCTGCATACTTTGTCCCTGGCGCTGAGGACAGTTGTGAGAACAACAGGATGGCTTGCTTTTCTCAGGAGTCTTGTAGCCCCAACCTAGAGACCTTCACCTACCAAGGTTTTGAGGGAGTCATGAAGTTTGAGGACTGGAACTGATTTTTCCATGCTGCTAGGTGATAGCTTAATAGCCATGATAACCTCAGAGATGTCCTTGGGCTGCATGTTTATAAAGGCAGATGGGTGTAGCAAATATATCTAGTCTACACTTTATTTAGACTCTACGAAGTGCTTTACAATGTGTTTTTAACTACCTTTTGTTGAAAATGTACAATACATATATGCAGCATTTTTTACTAGTCACACACACTGCGCGTTACACTGGCAATGTGACATTTAGTATCGTGTATAAGTACACTTTGACTTAAGACGAGTACAGTAATTTTGCTTCCAAGCATCATAACTGTTTTCATGATGTGTAKTTAATTTCTAATACCTTGAGTTCTTTGCATCATTTGTTTGAAAATATTACTTTCACTTGTGAGCTATGCTTCAGTTTTAGTTTTTATTTGATTTCACCAAGCAAAAGAGTGACCTGCAACTGTAGTTGTGCAAGATTTTGTTTCTTCAATTAAAGAAAAAATATTKAGAAAAAGACAAGTCCTCCACTATCATTTATTGTGTTTCAGTTCATTTATATAGTGCCAATTCACATCAAAAGTCATGTCAGGGCTCYACAACAAAAGTAACTACTCTCAATTCAGATCTAATAAAAGGAAAATTAGTCTAAAATAAATACAGTACATTATAAAATGTTAAAGTTGCCTGAGGAAGCAATCAGAAAGCACTGACTCATTCTTCRATTCCCTCCCTCATCTTGGGCAGCACAGAGGGGATAGTGGGAAGGAATGATTGTTTTTGTAACAAGGTGAAGCCTCCAGAAGAACCAGACTCAGGAAGGGTGGCCATCTGCCTAGACCAGCTTGGGGTTAGGAATGAATCAGGCATTGCCAAAATTAGCTGAAAAAACTAAAATTTGTTTGTTAAATTCAATTCAATTCAAAAATACTTTATTGATCCCAGAGGGAAATTTGGTGTTGTTGTAACTCAAAACTTAAAGACAAAAAGATAAAATAAGCAGTGCAAAGTGAAAAGATCAATTATGAAAAACACAAAAAGTATCAGTAGGCTACCTAAAAGTAGAAAAAGACTGGAAAAAAGCCAAAATTAGTGAGGATTGGTGTTTTTCTGCTCCTCTGTTTCCTGATTGGTTCCTGGCTCCATTACTCGCACCTGTGAGTGATCCTCTATGAGTTGCCGAGGTTCAAATGGCTCCCTGGTTGTCTGGTCTTCGCTGATGCATCTTACCTTCATGGTAGTATCTTGCAGCCAGTCAGTTTTCTCACCTGAATTACTTACTTGCTTCATGTTCTGTTCCCTTGAGGTTTCTACCATACCTCGTGCTCCACATCCCAGAAGGATTCTGTGCCTGAGTCAACATGAATGGYTTTTAAGGAATTAATGGAAGAAATAGCAACTGCTGTTGATCAGAAACTTTATTGTGTTAGCRTTTTTTAAAGGAGTCTTTTGACACTATTGACCATAACATCCTTATTGATAAGTTGAATAAATATGGCATTGGAGGATTAGCACTACAGTGGGTAACCAGTCATTTGAAAAATAGGAAAMWGTTTGTTGCAAGATCTGAATTGTAATTTTAGTTGTGGAGTTCCTCAAGGATCTGTGCTTGGACAAAACTTCATTTAAATGTGAATGATCAGGCCAWTGTGTCAAAGCTTTTAAAATGTATTCTGTTGAATGACACAACATTGTCAATGTCKCATCAATCCACAAACGAATACTAATAAGTTTATTATTGAAAAATTTTGTCAAAAGTCTTGCAGTCTTTCAGTTTGTGTGGACAGTCTGCTCTTAGTAGATTTACACATGTCCCGTATGCCCACCATGTCTTTATGATGGATTTACCAAAACTCTTGGGGATGTTTAGGACATTTGAAATCCTTTTGTATCCATCCCATGTCTTGTACTTTTAAATAATCTTTCCTCTGAGTTAATTTGAAATAATTTTGGAGTCACTCATTTTACATTGTAACAAACATTTACCTGTATATTTAAGTATAGCAGCATCTATTATTATTCTGTTATTTGGACCTGTCAGTACAAAGTATAGGAGTCATTCAATTTTTTTAAAGAAATTTTATAATATTTAACACTTTGTATGGAGTAGCTTGTCAACAAATAAGCAATTTCCCATTGGGGATCAATAATTTATTCTAAAGCATTGTGAAGCAGAAATTTTCCAGCCAATGAGTTATTTTGCAATCGTACAACCTTGTTAAAGAGAAAATTAGTAAATGTAATAATAAATAGATTTGTTTGTTGTTTTGTGTGTCCCTAAAATAGGTTGGAGCTGCAACAAGACATTGCAACATTAGTTCCACCTGTCATGTTTTGGCCTGGGGAGAAAACATTTGCCTGGGGCAATCCACAGTGAGAACTATTGCCCTACATCACAAGATCCTTTAAATACCATGTCTTAACATATYAACTCTGATTGTCTGTTRGCAAAGTATCTCATAAATCACTTGACAGATTTTYATGAAACTAAGTAATCAATTGATACATGTCTAAAACTGACTAACTTTTGAAGGGATTCTAACTTAGGATGGCCTCTACACAGCTATTTTAGCAAATGTAAAATTAATTTAAACATTGAGATCAAATTTGAATGGGATCTGAGAGTAAGCCCCAGTACATACTGTAATGTATTCTCATGTAAAATTCAAGATAGCTGCCATAAATTAAAATTATTGGCTATAAATTTTAAACATATTGAAATGTATTCCAACAAGTTCTGAATCCTAATCAAAAATTCAAGATGGCTGCTTAAGCTAGTTTAAAAAATGTCTGTGACTCATTTTTAAGCACACTGAGGTGAAATTTGCCACGGTGGTAGAGCAATGCACAAAGTACTGAATGTTAATCTAAATTCAAGATGGACATCAAGAAATTACTSAAATAACAAGAACTCATTTTTAGACCTACTGGGTTACTTTTTGTTTGGTAGTAAACCAATCCTCAACATGTCCTCTGAGAAATGATGATTCAAGATGATAAAAAATGGGCATCAAATGGCAGGCYCTTTCAAAGTTTCTCCTGGAACTTTTCTAGTTTTTTGTTATTTCTATTCTTTTGTAAAAAACTGATTTCACTTTCAAGTTCAAGTTCAAGAATCTTTATTATCCCCGAGGGGCAATTTGTTGTACAGCCAATAGACATAATAACAACTAAACAAAAACATTCATACACAAAAATCACAGATGCTCACTAATACATTTAACTGCTGCTGGGATAAATAAGTTTTTTTAATCTGTTTGTCCTACATTTGGTCAACTGGTATCTGCGTCCAGACGGGAGCAGCCTGAACTCACCATGGAGTGGGTGATCAGAGTCTACCCTGATCACCTACATAGTTTGTTTTTCATTTTATTTTTTAAAGGTGAATGTATGTCAATCAGAAGTGATTTGTGACAGAAATAAAAGCATAGGAAGTGAGTGTTTTTATAGGTATTGTACATCAATGATCTGTGTAAAATTTTGTCAAATACTATCTATCAATTTATGCAGATGACACCAATACTTATTGTTGCTAATCTTCACTGTTTTAGGCTTAGTTGTTATAAAATACTTTTAATTTTGTTTAGTCTCAACTGCAAAAATATTAACTGGTTTTAAATTCAAACAACAAAGCTCATGGTGTTTTCTATTAAAAAAAACTTTGAGTTATTACCATACCATACCATACCATACCATACCATACCATACCATACCATACC